CACGAGGCAAGCCCTGCCCATCTCCAGGTCGCAGGCCTCTCTCTAAAATGGGGAGAACGGGCAGAGGCCTGGCTCCAGTCCCCTGTGGCCTAAGCCTACCCGGCAGCGCTGTGAGCTGCTTGCCTGCTTCAGGAGACCCATGGCCAACGCTGAGCAGGCATGAGCTTTTCCAGCACTCGCAGCAGGTGGCGCCATTGCACCGCACTGCGGCCTAGCCCAGCCCACCTGCCCTCACTATTCCAATCCCGGCAGAAAGGGGGACCTTGAAAGACAGTGGGTGTTCACAGGTGGGACCGGGTGAGGCTTATCAGAAAATTGTTCTCATCAGGCCCAGCACACTGCTAGGCTGCTGCTCCGCAGCTGAGCCTGGTGTGTGCCTGTAACCTGGCAACAGGAGGCTGAGGCAGGAGGATCTTGAGTTCTGGGATGTTCCTCTGAAAAGAGCCAGGCATGGTGCCCTCCTGTGGTCCCAGCTGGGAGGCTAAGGCAGCAGGACTGTGACATGGAAAGACCTTGTCTTAGAAAAAAAAAAAAAAGGTTGAATCAGATTAGAACCCCTGAAGCTCACGTTGCCAACCAAGCCCAGGAGAACTTTCAGTACAGGGCCAGGTAGGAAATGTTTTCGGCGCGGGGACCATGTGGCATCTTGCAGCGGCAAGCAAGGTGCCAGCCACAGCCAGACAGGAATGAGGGTGTGGCTGGGTTCCAGTGGAACCGTGTTTACAGAACAGACCAGGCTGCCCTGCTCTAGGAGAATCCTGAAGAAGAGAATTTTTCTTAATTTTATAGCTGAGGAGACAGGCCCAGGAGGGGGCAGTGACTGGCCTGAGGCCATCCGAGCCTCCATGCTTAGGAGGAATTAGAACCAAGCTCTGCCTCCGATTCAGATTCCCAGCACAGACTGCAGCGCCTGGAGGTGTAGCAGCGAGGGCACCAAATCAAGCCTTATCTGGCTCCTGCACCTCTGCCCCCCTTGGATTCTGCAAACTCTGCAGCCAGGATTAAAGAGAACTCGATCTCCAGCAGACGACATGGGGAGAGCCAGCCAAGGAGCAGCCGGGCCTCTTCCCACCTCTTCAGGCTGCTTGGGATGCAGGCTGCCGCCAACCCGCTGGCTCAGGTGGATGAGAGTGCCCTGTCTTCTCCCGCAGCCCCTCCCATGGCCCAGGGAGCAAGTGCCGCTGTCTGGTGCAGTAATTACAGGGTGCAGAGCAGGGCCCTCATGGCTGCGTGTTGGGTTCAATGACAGCCCCTCATCTGGTGACAATTGCCAGCTGAGCCTAGAGGAGGGCTCCTGTTTCTGTTCCTCCTTCCCCACCCACTCACCCAGTCACCTGGCCCCCCAGGCCAGGCAGCGTCCACCCTGGACTGTGAGCCCTTGAACCACCCATGCCAACTGCAGCCATTGCATCTCAGGGCTGCAGCGTCGCCATGGCAACTCAGCGCTTGCACAGGTTGAAGGAAGCTGAGGATGTGACTTGTCTCTCCAAGGCTCCAGTGTCTGTCCCCACACAGCTCCAGCTCCCAGGCTTCTGCAGGAAGAGGGGGAGGGCTGACCTGAAGATCCAAGTTTTAAGTGTTCACATGCCCGCCACCTCTCCCGGGAGCCCATGGTGGAAGGGAAGTGAGTGCCCTCGATAGACGCGGGGTCTGCCCCTGGCACCGTGGGCTGAGAGCGGGCTCGCGCTTGCCTGTGTGGGAGATACAAGCCATCGGACAGGACCTGGCCTGATACCTCCCTCCTCGTCCTAGTACCCTTCTGTGCCTTGAGGGTGCAAGGGATCGTTTCCATTTCTGCTCCATTCTGTGAAAAACAAAACTCCCAGTGGCTTGAGAGCATAGTTACGTGGCACCAGGGCAGTTCTCTCTGTGGTGCATGCCACAGCTTTCTGCGTCATGGACGAGTGATGGGCCGAGACAGACCCCCCATTGGTGGTCCAGTGACCTGGGGGGACATCCCAGGTCATCCATTTGGGTTGACAACATTCGATGTGTGCTGGCCACGTGGCAGACGCCACTGACCCCAAAGCCACCCTTCCAGCCCTGGAAAGAGTCGAGGTGGGGTGGGGGTGGGGAAGAGAACAGAAGGGATGGTTCACTGGGCGCCCCAGCTGTTCAGCTAAGTCATTTCATCCCCAGCAACCGGTGGGGCAGGAAGTGGTCATACCTACTTCAGGGCTGCAGATGTGGACTTCATAGAGAGCTTAAGCACAAGGGAAGGGCAAGAACACAGCCTGGGGGTGCAGTCAGACCTAGTTCACACCTCTGCCGGGGGCTGGCTGTGCCCTGTCGGACGTGCTGCTGATCCATCTGAGGCTATAAAGAGGAATAATATACATCTGCTAATAAAGCTACTGTGATAATGAAATAGAGCAACACATAGAAAGCAGTCCCCACCATGCTGGACACATAGCCACTAACGCCAGCAGTGAGGATGTCATGTAACTTGCCCTGGTGACAAAGTGAGAGGAGGAGCCAACGTAAGAGCCCCCACCCCCAGGTTGCCATCCTGGCCATAGCACTGGCACGGATGAGGCGCCTCGTGGATACTTGTTCTATGAAGGGATTTTCCATAGTAGAAACTAAAGGGGGTTTTCACAGGTTCTAAGCTCTAAGTGATCTCCCCAATAAGAAGTCACTCCCACCTCGTTGGACCACCCATTCCCACCAGCCTCTGGCATCCCACTAGCCCTCGCCCCAACCACGCAGCCCAGACCGCAGCCAGGCCCCTTCATCCCTGCTTTAGAGTGGCCAGTTAGCTTGACCTCCGTTCCCATGGTTATTGGCAGTTTCGTTGGCAGCTAGTACATCTCCGTGAAGAGGCCCACAGCCCTCAGTTCCGTTGGCTTCCTGCTGGGGGGTCATCCATTTCTCCCGGATGTCTGATGAGAACGCTCCTGCTGGGGACAACAGAGGGACAGAACAGAGAACCGGAGAGAATGCATGAAAATGTATTCAGTGCGTGTTTCTGGAGCACTTACCGGGTGCCCTGCCGGCAGTAGCTGCTGGAGACATGAAGTCATTAAAACACTGTCCCTGTCCTCAAGAAACTTCTGCAGGGTTTTGTTTTGTTCCTCCCCACCCAGAGGGTTTTTGTTTTGTTTTTGTTTTTGTTTTTGCTATAGGGCCCGTGCGCTCTCCAGAAAGACAGAGAGATAAAGAGACAGAAAGTGATGGCCACGCTGCAATCCCATCTCCATTCTCCTCTCGGGATCTTGGGCATGCACGCACACGTGCCCAGCATGAGTTTAAGCCACCGGGTCCGGGACTCAAACTGCAGTTGACTGCATGGGAGTCAAGCAACATAGCCACCTGCTGGTCTCACTTCAGGGTTTTAGTCCAGAGCATTTCTTGGGAGTTGGACTCTGATAGAGACTGGAGGGCAGGGCAACCACTGGAACGTGGACTCGGACAGACAACAGTACAAGGGAGGAGGGAGACACAGCTTCAAGCATCCCAGTGAGGACCTCAGCCAGCCCTCGGGGAGCTCCGGCACGGAGATGGCTCTCAAGAGTTTTCCCTAATTGGGGTGAGAGGGGTCTTGGAGCCCTGACATCAACCTGTCATTGGAAACAGGCCTCCCCTCGAAGGTGGTGACTTCGGGTGAGGCAGCTTTCTTCATACCAGCATTCTCCAAAGAAGAGGATGTCTTCCACCATGCTGCCAGTGAAGCCCCTCATTCCCGGGAGGATCTGAGCACCCATTACAGGATTCACCACACCCAGTGTCAAGGCTTCAGGGATGACCAAGGATCCCTGAAGAGGAAAGCTACATCTGGTGTGTATGTGTGTTTGTACGTTCTGAGAGCACGTTCTTGGGGGGAGAGATTTTTGCTATAGGATGCATGTGCTCACCGGAAAGAGAAAAAATGAGAAATACCCCCAGGGTGATGACCACACTGCAATCCCTTCTTTTTCTCCTCTCTGGATTTGGGGCGTGCACACACACATACCCAGTGTATTTCAAGCCTCTGGGTCTGGGACTCGAACAGTGGTTGGCCATGTGGGAGGGAGTCCAGCGACTTAACCATTACACCACCTGCTGGTCTCTGGGGGCATGTTCTTGACCCGCAAGTTTAAAGAACCACTGGCTTGACTTACTGAAAACTTCGAAACAGCGATCAGGGGACCAGCAGTTGGCGTAATGGCTATGTTGCTGGACTCCCATGTAGTTAGTCGACTGCAAGTCCCGGACCCAGTGGCTTAAACTCACGCCGGGCGCGTGTGCGTGCGTGCCCAAGATCCCGAGAGGAGAATGGAGGAGAAGGGATCGCAGCGTGGCCATCCCCCTGGGAGGGTGATTTCTCATTTTCTGTCTCTGTCTCTCTCTCTCTCTCTTTGTCTTTCTGGCAAGCATACGCGTCCTGTAGCGAAAACCTTTCCAAAAAAAAAAAGAGTGAACGATGGTGGGTGCCATAACAAGAGCGTATGTGAGAAGCTGCAGAGAAGGGAGGACCCATTCTGTCTGGGTCAGGAGGAGAGCGAGGACCTCCGGGAAGAGTCCACCCTTTTGAATTGAGTCTCAAAGACTGAGTTTGCTGAGCAGGCAGAAGAGAGGCAGAGCACAGGAAGAGCAGATGCAAAGGCCCAGAGGGCCTATAGTGAGCGTGAGGATGAGGACAGCTCACCGTGACTGGCCAGAGGCACCCAGGGCAGAAGAGAAGGAGGGATCCTCTAAGAAGC